GAGACTCGCTTAAGCCCAGGAGTTGGAGGTTGCTGTGAGCATGATGCCATGGCACTCTACCCAGGGGGATAGCTTGAGGCTCTGTCTCAAAAAAAGAAAAAAATAAATAAATAAAAATAAAGATAAAATAATGAAAAAGGTAAAAAAAATCATTTGCCTGAGTTTTATTTCAAGAAGTAGAAAGAAGTATTTCATGTGTATTCCTGTGTGTGTCTTAAATTGCTTGCATTATACTAAATGATTTCTTTTTTAAAATTTGTATTTCTCCCTTTGTTATATATTGTTTATTTTCCTTTCAGGAAGCTATCATTCTTCCACAAGCAAAGAAGTAATGGAAATGGAATTACCAGTGGGAGGTTAGAAAAATGAATCATTTTCTCTTTCTCTTGTTTTTACATTTATAGTATTTTGCAGAGAATATACCCTTTAAACACTCGTTTGAAAATAAAGGAGGCAACTTCCTGGTATGCCTGCCCTCTTAGAAAACTGGTTGCGTCCTCATCCAGTATGAAGGGATCTATCACTTCTTTTACTTTTCTGATCCTTAAGTGACACTCAAAGCACCTGATAGAAGTTAACTTCGAGCCAGTGCTATTTTTTGTTTTATTTCGTTTTAGTTTTTGATGTGCAATGCCAAAATTATTTTTGACAGACTTGAATAGTATTTTAGGAAATTCTTGAATTAGAAGTACAACTTGATACTACTTCTTTCCATTCACATATAAATCTTGAGCATCTTATGTACATATAAATCTTGAGAATAAAGCCTGAATTCTTGTTGGAGGGCAGGGGCAGAGTCTCACTTTGTCACCCACAGTAGAGTGCTATGGAGTCACAGCTCACAGCAACCTCAAACTCTTGGGCATACGCAATTCTCTTGCCTCAGCCTCTCAAGTAGCTGGGACTACAGGTGCCCGCCACAATGCCCAGCTGTTTTTTGGTTGCAGCCATCATTGTTGTTTGGCAGGCCTAGGGCCTACCAGCTCAGGTGTATGTGGCTGGTGCTTTAGCCACTTGAGCCACAGGTACCGAGCCCACCTAGCTATTTTTAGAGACCGGGTCTCACTCTGGATCAGGCTGGTCTTGAACTCCTAAGGTCAGTCACTCTACCCGCCTCCACCTCCCAGAGTGCTAGGATTACAGGCATGAGCCATCTTGCCCAGCTTACAAAGCCTGAATTCTTTTTTTTTTTTTTTTTTTTTTTTTTGAGACAGAGCCTCAAGCTGTCCCCCTGGGTAGAGTGCCGTAGCATTACAGCTCACAGCAACCTCCAACTCCTGGGCTCAAGCGAGTCTCCTGCCTCCACCTCCCAAGTAGCTGGGACCACAGGCGCCCGCCACAACGCCTGGCTATTTTTTGGTTGCAGCCGTCATTGTTGTTTGGCGGGTCCGGGCTGGATTCGAACCCGCCACCTTAGGTGTACGTGGCTGGCACCTTAGCCGATTGAGCTATAGGCGCCGAGCCACAATGCCTGAATTCTGAAAGTGATTTATATATTTTCAAAATAAAATTAATTAAGGAGACCTTCCTCTCCAAACCTGGAGGCCTGAAACAATAGGCCAGATGGTCTTAATGTTAGGAGTTGTACATCTGCCTTAGTAACAGGTATAGTACAAAATAATTTTGGTTTTTTTCTCCAAATCAAGAGCATTGGCCAAGGCGCTGATCTGTAGCCAATTTTTGTAGCAGTTTATCCAGTCTTCTGACCCCCCAAAATTTTGATAGATTTTGTTTGTCCAGAAAAGGAGACTATAGTGAGATAGAGTGTGGTCTTAGAATTGTTTATTTACTCGTAAAATTAGTCATTTTGAACCAACTGGCTTTAATCCAAAAGACAAATTGATTCTGGCACTAATTAAGTTTGATTTATTGGCTTGGCATCTGTGGCTCAAGTGGCTAAGGCGCCAGCCACATACACCTGAGCTGGCCAGTTTGAATCCAGCCTGGGCCTGCCAAACAACAATGACGGCTGCAACCAAAAAATAGCCAGGCGTTGTGGTGGGCGCCTGTAGTCCCAGCTACTTGGGAGGCAGAGGCAGGAGACTCACATGAGCTCAGGAGTTGGAGGTTGCTCTGAGCTGTGATGCCATGGCACTGTGCCCAGAGCAACAGCTTGAGGCTCTGTCTCAAAAAAAAAACAAAAAAAAACTTTGATTTATTTTTTTAAATTGTGTTAGGAAATATATAACATAAATTTATCATCTTAACCATTTCTAAGCGTACAGTTCAGTAACGTTAAGTTGGAAAACAGATCTGTTGGAAAACAGATCTTCAGAACTTAACTTATCTTGCAGATCTGAAACTCTGTTCATTAAACAGCAAGTCCACTATTTCCCCTGCCCCTCAGCCCCTGGCACCCACCATTCTGCTTTCTGTTCTGGTGACATTGACAGTTTTGAATACTGAATATGAGTAGAATCATAATGTATTGTCTTTCTGTGAATGGCTTACTTTATTTAGCATAACATCCTCAAGGTTCATCCTTTTTTTTTTTTTTTTAAAGACAGAGTCTCACTTTATCCGCCTCAGTAGGGTACTATGGCATCACAGCTCACAGCAACCTCCAGCTCTTGGGCTTAGGAGATTCTCTTGCCTCAGCCTCCTGAGTAGCTGGGACTACAATTGCCCGCTACAACGCCCAGCTGTTTTTTGTTGCAGTTTGGCCAGGGTCAGGTTTGAACCTGCCACCCTTGGTATATGGGGCCAGTGCCCTACCTACTGAGCTACAGGCGCCGCCTGGTCCATCCTTACTATAGCGTGGGACAGGGTTCTTCCCTTTATTTTTTATTTTCTTTTTCTGTCTGAATTTCTTGTGGTGTGGAAATTCTTGTGGTGAGGAAAATTATTTCTAATTCAGCTTGAATCTATTCCTCTTTTACATCATTTTACTTCTCTAAAGGGAAGTAGATATTGCTAGATAATAGATATTATTTATAGTAGTCCTATTGGATATTGTTTGGTCATTTTTTTAACAGATAAGTAGTATTTAGAAATAAGATCTATGGAGGATATAGGTAGGAGTCAGTTGTAGTACAGTCAGAATTACTCCACTGGCCTTTGAGATAACTTTATTTCTGGCAGTGTGCAGTGGCTCATGCCTGTAATCTTAGAACTCTGGGAGGCTGAGGCAGGTGGAGTCCTAGAGGTCAGGAGTTTGAGACCAGACTAAGCAAGAGTGAGAACCCATCTCTTAAAAAAAAAATAGGTGTTATAGCGGGCGCCTGTAGTCTCAGCTACTTGGGAGGTTGAGGCAACAGGATTGCTGTGCCCAAGAGTTTGAGATTGCTGTGAACTGTGATGCCATGGCACACTACCAAGAGTGACAAAGTGAGACTGTGTCTCAAAAAAAAAGAGGGGGAGAAATAACTTTATTTCCAGAGGCACATGGCTCACACCTGTAATCCCAGGGCTTTGGTAGGCTCAGGCAGGAGGATGCCTTAAGGCCAGGAGTTCAAGACCAGCCTGGGCAACATAGTAAGGCCCCTATCTCTACCAAAATATAAAAATATTAACCAGGCATGGTAGTGCACACCTGTAGTCCCAGCTACTCAGGAGGCTGAGGCAGGAGGATCACTTGAGCCCAGTAGTTCAAAGCTGCAGTGAGCTATGATTGTGCCAGTGTGCTCCATCCTGGGTGACAGAGTGAGACCCTGTCTCTTAAAAAAAAAAAAGGAAAGAAAGAAATATTTTATGTCTGGAGGTATTTTTATTATCATAGTACAATAGGAAGTCCATTTATAATAGAAGTGAATCAGTTTAGTTTTATACTTCAACTTTTTATACTGAAATAATTATAGATTCACAAGAAGCTATAGAAATAGTACAAGAGGCTCAGCACCTGTGGCTCAAGTGGCTAAGGCGCCAGCCATGTACAAATAAGGTGGCAGGTTCGAATCCAGCCCGGGCCTGCCAAACAACAATGATGGCTGCAACCGAAAAATAGCCAGGCATTGTGGCGGGCGCCTGTGGTCCCAGCTACTTGGGAGGCGGAGGCAGGAGACTCACTTGAGCCCAGGAGTTGGAGGTTGCTGTGAGCTGTAATGCCACGGCACTCTATCCAGGGGAATAGCTTGAGGCTCTATCGCAAAAAAAAAAAAAAAAAAAGAAAGAAATAGTACAAGAGAGGTCCCATGTACCTTCACCCATTTTGCTCCAAAGGTCAAAACAGCTACATTAGTTTTTTGAGACAGAGTCTCACTTTGTTGCCCTTGGTAGCGTGCTGTGGCATCATAACTCACAGCAATCATAAACTCTTGGCTAAAGTGATTCTCCTGCCTCAGCCTCCCGAGTAGGTGGGACTGCAGGGGCCCACCACAACACCTGGCTATTTTTTTTTTTTTTTTCGAGACAAGGTTTCGCTCTTACTCAGGCTGGTTTCAAACCTGTGAGCTCAGGCAAACCATCCGCCTCAGTCTCCCAGAGTGCTAGGATTACAGGCATGAGCCACTGCACCCGGCCAGCTACATTAGTTGTTGACTTCTATTATTTCCTTCTTTACTAAGAATTAATATAATGTTTGGCAGATTAGGTGAGATAATCTCTAGCCAGGCAGGGATTTTATTTATCTTTCTTCTACCTAGGATTGAACATAATGTGTACGTCATAATTGTTGTCTGCTAGAACCATTAACTGAGCTTCCATGCAATAAGAGACTGTGAGTCACCTTGGATTACTGGCAAAATAAGAGGGGACCATGAACCAAAATAAATGGCGTTTTTTAATCTTAGTAGTTCCCGATAACAAGAAAACGCTATGACCACATGAATCCCTTAACCCACATATAAAAGAATTCTATGTGCATTAATGCGGGTGACTCTGTTTTCTGATGCTATCTGGAAATTACTATTTCTCCTTTTATCCCTTAGAAGAAGATCCTTTATAAAATTATTTTTTAATATTCTGTTCTCTCTAATAAAATTAAAATTACATTTATGTTTATTATATGTGAAATATAGTTAAAATACCAGGATAAGCTACTTTTTTTGTATCAGAGTAGTAAAATGTTAGAATGGGAAGAGAATACTTAATGAGCGTCTTTTTGGAAATTTCTTTTTCAAGATTCTACACAGCTGGTGCCTCCGGAAACAACTGAGGACCCAGAAGTCGAGGTGAAAATTGAAGGTTAGTTGCCCAAAGCCTTGTCACAGTTCAATGCTATGTTTTTCACTCTTTCTAAAAGCATCATTGTGGGGAAAAGAATGAGATGGATACACGTGGATGTAGGACTAGAACAGCCCATATCCCATCAGGAGCCAGTGCTTGGGGGTGCTTTAGACAACAAGATTCAGCCATGCTTCACAGTAAGCATGTATCACTTCAGGGACAAAGTCAGGAGTGAACTGGGCCTATGCGAATGGACAGCCTTTCTGCAGTGGTTTAGCTTTGTTGCAAATTATGTGGTGGTGCTGTAAGGTCAAAGAGCACAAATGTTGCTTCCTATCCAGGAAAAGGGTCTCGGGCCAACAGCAGGTCATGCTTTTCCAGGTGGATTTTCCATGAGTGGAGTTGGATTTGCACGGGTTCATTGGTACTTAAAGTCAGCAGGGCCTGAGTAGGGGGGTTATGGATAAAATACAGTATTTACATGGCCCAGTTTGGGTCCTCCCAGGGTTTCAGTGTGACATCCAATACTCTTGATTTGGGACCATCCTCTGAGCCAACAGTGACACTTGAAATTTTTTTTCCCCTTAAATTCCACAAAAGGAGACCTTAAAGTACTTCAAAATTTTTTTTATTGAGGTAAAATTCACATGGTTGATAAAATCAGGCATTTCATACAGAATCTCAGGCCTTACCCAGACTTAAGTTTTCAGAATTTGTAAGCTCTCTAAGTGATTTGTGTGTACCTTTAAGTTTGAGTTATTAACATGTAACTTTATATCCTATTACTCTATTTCTCGTGTTAGTTTCAGTTTTAATTCTATTAAATATGAAATGTTCGCTTCCTTGGATTATTTTCCCAAGTAATCTCTTGTTTTGTTAGTGTTCATTTGTCAGTAATTTCCTCTGGAAGAGCTCACTGGAAGAATACATCTTGACTTGTATATTCTTGATTGATTCATAGTCTTTATACTCCAAGGAGGGTTTCCTAAATACAAAATCCTTCGTTCATATTTTCTTTCCTTAAGTATCTGATACATTTAATTGTATTATCTTTGAGGATTAAAGATTGCTGTGGAAAAATTTGAAGCCAACCTGATTTTTAATCCCTTAAAAATGACAAAAATTGTTTTCCTTTCTGCTTAAGTCTTAATACCAATATTGATAGAAATGGGTCAATTTTCCTGGCATGGTACCCTTTCAGACTCATTCTTTCCTTTTAGGAAAATTTTTCCTTTGTTTTATTTCATCAGTAGTACTGTTTTCTTCCTTAAGGAATCGAAATTAACATGGCTTGCAAACAGCCAAATAAAAACAAGAAACCAAATAACGTGTGATCCATCGCCTTTCTCATGTCTTTCTATTTCACCTTTGTTCAGATTCGCTTTCCCTCTTTTTTTATGTCTATTTTGTTTAATTTACTTGACTTATTTTGACCTTCACATTGTCTCTTGGCTTAGTGCTCCCTGTTTCACCTTCATTTCTATATTTCATTATTTTTCTTTTAATTAAAAAAAACTTTCAGGCCAAGTGCAGTGGCTCACGCTTATAATTCTAACAGTTTGGGAGGCCGAGGTGGGTAGATGGCTTGAGCTCAGGAGTTTGAGCCAACTTGACCAAAATTGAAACCCGGTCTCTACTATAAATAAAAAAACTGGCGAATTTTATGTTATGATGAGTACCTATAGTCTCAGCTACTTGGGAGACCGAGACAACAGGATCACTTGAGCCCAAGAGTTTGAGGTTGCTGTGAGCTGTGACATCTCAGCACTCTACCCAAGGTGACAGAGTCAGACTCTGTCTCTAGAATAAAATAAAACAAAATAAAAATTTCAAAATGAACGTTCCAATGGCATTTCATACATTCACAGTGTTATACAATATCACCTCTGTCTAGTTCCAAAACAATTCCATCACTCTAAAAGAAAGCCCCACACCCGCTAAGCAGTTATTCCTCATTCTCTCCTCCAGCTGTACCTTGGAAGGCACCAGTCTGCTTTCTGGCCGATAGATGTACTTATTCTAGGTATTTCATATAAAAGGAATTATAAGTGACCTTTGGTGTCTGACTTCTTTCACTTAGTATCTTTAAGGTTCATCTGTGTTGTACTTTGTGTCAGAACTTTCTTTCTAAGGCTGAATAACATTTCATTGTATAAATCATCATTTGTTCATCTGTCCATTGAGTTGTTTCCTTAAGTACTTTTAAGAATGTAAAGAGAAGAATCCCATGTTAGAATCAAAAGTCCAGCACTGATTTAAATGGTGGCCAGTAGGCAGTGTTCTCCAGATGGCCTCTGGGTTGTGCTGTTGTCTTTGGGGCATCACTATTGAATAGGAAACATAGGTCTAAGCATAATTTTGTTCTAGATAGTAGTTTTTTAAAGAATTGGTCATAAATAGTTTGGTAAATAATTTAGCCACTAATGTGCATGTATCTAGCAAAGGACCAAGGGATTTGGAAGTCCACCATCGGCATGTTCTTATCCTCCTTTGTCTGACGGGTATTACTGTGGTGAAATGTAGAATATGGAGCCAGATGAGAAGTTTTAAACTAACCTAGAAGGCAGTTAAGCATTGAACTCATGAAGAATCATTGCTTACAGAAAGTGAGAGTTTTAGAAGAGTTAAGACTTAGACTCCAGGGCAGCGCCTGTGGCTCAAAGGAGTAGGGTACCAGCCCCATATGCCAGAGGTGGCGGGTTTAAACCCAGCCCCAGCCAAAAACTGCAAAAAAAATAAAGACTTAGAGTCCATGGTAAAAAGTGCCATCCATTTGTTTGAAATATGCAGAGTAACACATTGAGTGCCAAACACACAAAAAGAAATTTTTCCTTGGGGGCACGGTATTTTATTATGAAAACAGAATAAAAACTTCAACAATAAAATGATTCCAAAACATACATCAATAAAAAAGTAATAAACCAGGGCAGTGCCTGTGGCTCAGTGAATAGGGCACTGGCCCCGTATACCGAGGGTGGTAGGTTCAAACCCAGCCCCGGCCAAAGTGCAGCAAAAAAATAGCCGGGCATTGTGGCAGTTGCCTATACCCAGCTACTCGGGAGACTAAGGCAAGAGAATTGCCTAAGCCCAAGAGCTGGAGGTTGCTCTGAGCTGTGATGCTACAGCACTCTACCAAGGGCAACAAAGTGAGACTCTGTCTCTAAAAAAAAAAGTAATAAGCCAGGCACAGTGGCTCACACCTATAATCCTAGCACTCTGGGCAGCCAAGACAGGTAAATTGTCTGAGCTCAGGAGTTCAAGAGCAACCTGAGTAAGAACGAGACACCGTCTCTAACAAATAGCCGGGCATTGTGGTGGGCACTTATAGTCCTAGCTACCAGAGAGGCTAAGGCAAGAGAAATACTTTGAGCCCAAGAGTTTGAAGTTGCTGTGAGCTATGACACCACAGCACTCTACGGAGGGTAATAAAGTGAGACTATCTCAAAAAAAAAAAAAAAAATGTGATAGAAAAGATTGGGCTCGGCGCCTATAGCTCAACCAGCTAAGGCTCCAGCCACGTACACCTAAGGTGGCGGGTTCGAATCCCCAGCCCGGACCCACCAAACAACAATGATGGCTGCAACCAAAAAATAGCCTGGTATTGTGGCGGGCGCCTGTGGTCCCAGCTACTTGGGAGGCGGAGGCAAGAGACTC